TTTCGGACTTTGGATGTACGTGGACTCAGGGTTTTTATTTTTGAAGAAAACACATGAAAGCATTTGTTGTGCATGTAAGCTAGTACCTGGCAATTTGGAAAGACGACAGATTGACGTACCAGCTATGTATTGCCAGTTTCTGTTTCAGTCAAGCATGCGGTTTTATTTCTTTTTGCCATCTATCCACTGTCTGTTCTTTTGGGCTGTATTTTTTTTATGGCCTAATGTGGACTCGAGTATTGAATTAAAATCATTTCCCCGTGAGTTTCACCAGGTTAAAGAGCGGTTTTCTAAAAGGTGCTAAAATGACTTCATGGTGTTCATTGAGTAGAAGTAGGCTGATGTGTTGCTGATGTGTTTGTGCGGTTGATCATGTTATCATTTGTATTTATTACACCATAACCAGCAGCTTTGTGTGTGGTAAAGATATCCTGACTGTATAGCTAACGTTTTGCTGTTTATATGAAGGCGCGTTGAAAAGCTGAGTCTTTTATAATAATGAAAGTGTTTTCTTTGGCTCTGGGTTCTGATGTGTACAAATATTACAAATTGTATGAAAAAGAGTATTGTCTTAAACTGCAACCTTTCCCATTTCCAGATGCTTTTCTTTTAACTGCACAACAGTTTCCTGTCATTGTTTTCAAGGATGTACTGAGTCTGAGGATCACTCGTGTGCCGGCTGCAGTAACTTTGATCTCCCTGATAGTCTTTCATCTCACGCATCATGTTGGCTGTTTGATCTGCTGAAAACAGGAGTACTTGTAATTACCACATGATGTCACATTCCCGAAATAAATAGAGTTGACTGTAAACTTTGTGAGAATGTGCACACGGCCAGTGTTTAGATGAACACAATACATGCTCCAAATGTTTTTTCCCCCTCTATGCTTTTGTAAAAACAGCTCCTTTGCAAACCAATAAACTTCTTATGTTGAGTTTTTTCTTGTGATCATGTTTTTGTGTTAAATAATTTTGAAGGTTATAGATGCATATCGATAAGTAGATTGATGATATATATTCGTCTCCTGTCTTTGTGTTTAGACCTGTCTTGCTCTTTCCCCTCACTCCAAAACCTGTTATGGCAGATAGATGTCTTCCGCTGGTTTTGCTTGAGGTATCTTTCTGTTAAAAGGGAATTCTTCCTCCCTGCTCCTCTAAAACATTCTGAGTTTGGTGGTTTCAAGGAGAACGGTACTTGTCTGATTGCATTGTGCCTAGTGTAAAGTTTGGTGGAGGGCGGATTATGGTGTGGGGTTGTTTCTCAGGCGATGGGCCCCTTAGATCCAGTGAAAGGAACTCTTAATGCTTCAGCATACCAAATCATTTTGGACAATTTCATGATCCCAACTTTGTGGGAACAGTTGGGGGAAGACCCCTTCTTGTTTCAATATGACTGCGTACCAGTCATGGATGAGCAAGTTTGGTGTGGAAAAATCTGACCGGCCGGCACGGAGTCCTGACCTCAATCTGACCGAATGCTTTTGGGATGAATCAGAGTGGAGACTGTGAGCCAGGCCTTCTCATCCAACATCAGTGTCTGACCTCACAAATTCTGATACACTTGTAAACTTTGTGGAAAGCCTTCCCATAAGAGTTGAAGCTGTTATAGCTACAGTTCACATGTGTGTGAAGTGAATACGTGGTCATCTTGGCCACGTCTACATGTCAAGATGCATCCACTGCAGTTTCACTTCATATTTTTCACATCATATATTTTAAATTTCCACTAGGACATGTATGTTCATAATGGAAATCTCCCAATGAGTCAGAAATGCAAGAACAAAAACAGACAATCAACAGATAATTTGGTATATTTCTATTCCTGATCCTTAATAAATAAAAAAAGAGGTTCTTTCATGTTTAAGAGAAGCACCTGAATTCTCAGAAGAAATGATTCTTCCTCTTTCATCTTTCAGCTCACAGCCGGAGAAGAGTCCCAACTCAGAGGCTCGGCAGAGGCAAGATCAGTTATTTCTGCACATGAAAGAGGGAGAAGAGGAGCTCACATTAATGCTGGGTCCTTTCCCTCCAGCACAAAATCTTTATACTGAAACAGAAGGACTTACCATCTGTCAGACCCCTTCATCAGACCGCTCTGCTTCTGCACATGTAAATAAAGAATAAGAAGATGAAGGCATGCCACGGAGCCTCCAGTCAGGTCGCTGCTGTCTCTGAAGATTACTTGGCAGCATGTGCAACATTCATGAAGAATATCTAATCATTTACAATCTCACACTGAGATAAACCTCTGCTGTGTTTGCTGTGCTTGTTTTAAAGAGGATGTTGACCTCATAATACATGCGAACATGACAAAACATTCAGGCAAACATAACAAGTGTTTGATCTGAGTGTGCCCGTGTGTTCATCAGAGAATCCATACAGGAGAGAAACTGCACTGTTGCCTCACTTTCAGCAGCAGAACAGCAGCAATTCAAGATATTACCTGAGATATTGTAGAGATAAAAAAGTAAACAGCTCATTTATGGTCCACTGTGCAAAGGTCAAAGAGAGATCATGTCTTCAGCTCGGTGTGCCAGGGAGCCAAGGGTGCCTGCTTCTTCTGACAACCGACCTTATTGTGCTCAGTTTTTTAAATTAATGCTAATGGAGAATATTTCTTCCTAGCTACTGCATGTTTTTCAGTTATGATAAAACAGCTCAACAGTTCAGATTCTTTCCTTTGCGACTATCTACAGTGACCAGCAGAGGTTTAGCGGTCTTTCAGTCACTAAGTCCCCAGGGCTGAGGGCACAAATTAAAAAAGGTCTGGACCACCACCATGGTTCAGCACCTCAGTAATGTATGGAGGGGAAAAGAGCTCCAACTAGAAAGAGCCATTTGTGGTTGTGCACTCAGAGTCTATTCCTGAAGCC